GCAAATGCTTGTGCTGGCTAGTTTTACCTCAACTTGACATAGGTAAAGTCACTAAGAAGAGGGAACTTCAATTGAGAAAGTGCCTCTGTAAGATTGGGTTGTAGGTAAGCCTGTAGGGCATTTTCTTATTGATTGGGAAGGACCTTCCCATTTGTGGGTGCTGCCATCTCTGTGCTGTGGTTCTGCATTCTGTAAGAAAGCAGGATGAGGAAGCCATTAGGAACAAGCCAGCAAGTAGCAGCATTCTCTGCCTCTAGGTTCCTGTCCTGCTTGAGTCCTACCCTACCTGCTTTCAGTGAACAATGATATGGAAGTATAAGCTAAATAAACCCTTAGACTCCCTAAGTTGCTTTTGGTCATGAGGTTTCATCACAGCAATAGTAACCCTAACTAAGATACCTCTGACTAATTTGTTAATTTTTGTTTCAGCATCAGAAACAACCCAATGACACATTTTTTATTAATTTTTTTTTGTTGTTGTTTCAGCATCAAAAACAACCAAATGACACATTTTTCCTGCTGTGAATCTCTTACTCAGGAGGACGGCCTGACCCAGAGCAAAGGTAATTCAACTTGTATGCTTTATAGACAGATTTATAAGGGAACCCACAGGTTTCTCTCTCAGCCTTTCCCCAGTAGAAAGACATGTTAATTAAACCTGCTGTCTAGTCAGGGAATAACAGTTACCTTCAGACTAAAGTCACATCCCAGTGCAGGCAGTGTTTCTGTAAACTAAGACATCTTTGCACGTTGTCATGTGAATTAGCCAAGAAACATTCAAAAAGATATCTCTGTTTCCATTGATCAGGTGGTAAACCCAGGGCTAAGAGCATTAATGGGACTTTGCTGAGGGCATGTGTCTATTAAATAAAGGTTGCTCATCTCTAAAGGGCTCAGAGCCTCATCATCACCACCACTCCCTACCCCCACTGAAGAACAGCTAAGCAGGCATGAACATGGCATCCCTTATAACTGGTGCCACATGGTCCACACTGCAGACTCCGCACTTCTGCTTACCCAGCCTTCACATCCGAGCTCCCGGCCAAGTTTGGTCCTGCAGACCTGCGAGTCTAGCACTCAGGGAGCAGAAGGATCACACACACGTTCAGGTCTAGTGTTTACTACAGACTGAGCACAAAGTCAGTTTGGGAAACTTAGTAAAACTTTATAGCTTAAAATAAAATGAAAATCAAGCTTAGCAAAACAAACAGACTGGGGGTGACGTCACTGAGTATCCTCCTAGCATGCATGCACGGTACTCTTCTGGTGCAGCTCTCTCTCTCTCACTCGTGTGACACGCCTTTTTTCCACGCACCCTCAGAACTTACTGCCACCATGCACTACACTTGCCACCCCGTGACTCCCTCGTGCTCTGTTTTCTGCCTCTGCTTCTTCCTCTTCACTTGCCTGCCCTCCTTTCACCGGTACTTTATTCTTTCTGTAACTGTTTACTACATTCGTTCCGTGAACATTTAGCGTGTGCTAGGTTCTGTTCTAGGAGAAGGGATTCCAAGGGAAAATGGTTTCAAGTCTCCAACCAAGAAGCCTTATGTTTAGGGGAAAATGCCCCCCCCCCAACTCAAACAGTCTAGGTACTTTCAGATAATAATGTATGCTCTGATGGTAAGAAAATGAGAAAGGTCACAGAGTATGACATAAGGGGTTACTCTGGGTGGCCATTTAAATGAGAACATTTAAACATGCCAGGCAGAGAGAAGGTGTTCTAGGTGGCAGGAAACCGTATGTATACAGGCCAGTGGCGAGCCTGGGATAGAAAGGAGAGGTGGGCCTGGCGCAGGGCGCTGGCTGTTTACAGCAGGCTGCTCTCAGACCTGGAAAGCCCTTCCTTTCTGCCTCACCAGGAGTTGTTAAATGGCAGTTTACATATGGCTCATTGTCTAGCTCTTGGTCTATGGTTTGAATTTACATATACACAATGAGCAATCAAGCATAGTCCCCCATACTGAGGAAGGCAGAAAATAACTGTTTTACCCTTTGGATACACACAGGGAAAGAAGAAGGGAGGCAGACAGCCTTTGAGGAACTTATGCCTTTGAGGAACAAACTGAGAACCCAGGGCTGCAGATGACTGATGGGTAGATAACCACAGACAGGAGATGACAGAAAAGAGAGTTTTCACTGGGCATTTGGAGAAAACCCCAGACAGGCACTTGACCATCAAACTCTGATTTGAGCAAAGAGAAAAGCTGAGGAAAACAGAGTGAATGAAAACAGTGCTTCTCAGAGCCTGGGAGTTTCAAGTGCCTTCTGGCTTTCCTTCCTTGTTACCAGCCATGAACTGCAGACAATGAAGGGAGTCTAGGGGGACAGGGAGCAGAGCTGGAGCAAATCACAACTTCACTGAGACTCAGAAGGTAGTGGTGGCACTGTGATCAGAGTCATTGCAACAAAGGCCAGGAAGGCTCCTGACCTTTCACGGGGAGTCTAAAAACTCTCAGGACTTCTAAGACAGCTATGAAAACCTTGCTGGTCCCAGAGGGAAATCTAGCTTCAGATACTTTTGACTTACTTTACTAAGGGCCCTTTGCCAGCTCATGTATCCTTCCATCCGGTCATAAACCTCTTGTGTTCTCCTCTTTCTCCCACCCACACTCTTCTCCAAACGAGTCCTGCCTTTGTGCCTTTGCATCAGGTACATCAGTATCTCCCTTGCTTGACTACAGCTGGCTTTCCTGTCATTCAGAAATTTACCTTCTCATCTCGAGCTTGCCACTCTCCAGAAAGAAAGAGTCTGCCTGGTTTTCTCTAGCCGTTACTATGTAGCACTGCTTATTAGCCGATCATTTTTTGCGACACCTTAGGCAGTTTCATCTCATTAGCTTTGTCTCTCCTGCTAGGATATACATATCCTAAGGGAGAGACCATTGTCCTTTCCTTCTTCCCTTTTACTGTCTTAACATTCATTTCTTTTCATTTTAAGTATATGAGTGTTTGCTTGTACATATGCATGTACTACATGCCTACAGTGGTATAAAAGCCCTAACGGGTCATCAGATCTCCTGAAGCTGCTGTTATAGGTGGTGGTGAGCTGCCATTTGAGTGCTGGAAAATGAATGGTATCCTCCGCAAGCACAGCCAGCCCACTCAACCATCTTTCTGTCTTTCCAGTTCCCCTTTGATCTGTCTCTACTTAGTGCTCAGAGTGAGGGCACCTTCTGTACGTGTTTCTGTACTGAATGAATGAACCGGTTTCTTTTGTGTCTGACACTGAGGACCCAGGAAGGTGAGAACAAGCAGCACATATTTTCTTAGCATCTAATACACAGCAGATGCTGACCTCTGGAGCATACAATTTCTTGCCCATTTTGTAGTTGAGGAAATAGAGACACAGAGATACAGGGCATCTTGTTTGAGAACACATAGGTGAATGTAGTGGTCTGAATAGGAATGGCCCCATTCATTTATCTGAATGCTTGTCCCACAGGTATAGCCTTGTTGGAGCAGATGTGGCCTTGTTGGAGGAAGTGTGTCACTGTGCAGGCAGACTCTGAGGTCTCATATATACTCAAGCCATCCTCAGTGTGGCTGACAGTCTCTTTCTGCTGTCTGTGGATCAAGATGGAGAACTCTCCTTCTCTAGCACCATGTCTTGCCTGCACACTGCCATGCCTCCTGCCATGATGATAATGGACTAAACCTCTGATACTGTAAGCCAGCACCAGTTACATGTTTTCCTTCGTAAGAGTTGCTGTGGTCATAGTAACTCTTCACAGCAACAGAAACCCCAGCTAAGAGAGAAGTACTGAGAAGATCTGAACAAAACCCCCAGGAAAGAAGCTTATTTGTAGAGATTGATTGAATGATTAGAGTTTCAGGACTGCAGAGAGACTGAAATATTACATGCCCCTGAGGCTAATTACCTTATCTTGGGCTAGTTCTAGCTCTCATGACAGCCATTTCTTGCCTACCTCTGTAAACAAACATTTTGTGACTGATAGATAAAAACCTTTTAGAATCTCTTAACTTAGCAGACCACTAGCTTCCACCAACCAAAATGCTCAGAAAACATATTCAGCTTACAGGAAAGCTTCTCCCATCTTGCTATACCTGGCTCTCTGATGTACCCACCAATGTTTTTTGAACTTGCCTTGATTTATGATTTTCTTTTTTCTGTAAATGTATAAAATTTAATTAAAGTGTTTCCACACTGGAAGACTGAATTTGGGATGGCCTAAATCTGAGTTCTGGGTTGTGGACACTAAAAATAGCTCCAGAACAAACTATCTTTTATTTCCTATAAGATTAGACATGTGTGTGTGTGTGTGTGTGTGTGTTTTGTGTGTCAACAAAGGTAATAGAGTCAAACTTGGTTCAGCTTGATTCTATGTCCCTACTGCGTATGGCTACTTTGCTCCTTTCCTATTTTTTGTGTCAACACAGGTAATAGAGTTCAGTAGTCACAGATGGCCTCTTTGTTTGCTGTGTAACCCTGGGCAATTTGCTTAGTTTCTCTACTTTAACTTTTTCAATAGTTAAAGAAGAGCTCAATGAACAAAAATGAACTACAGTATATACAAAATAGAACAAAACCCAATAACAATAAAAACACCCAATAGCTTCAGGTATGCATGTAACTATTCACTCAATGCTTTCCTTGACCAAACCAACTGGGAAGGAGGCAATCCTTGTGGGATTCTCCTTCTGTGTCACCCTGAACATGAACCAAGATGCATCATGGGTCCTTTATGGATACCTACAAGCTTGGGAGTATCCTGGCCATGAGGCAGACATAGATATCTGATGTTTTGTTCTGCCTGGAAAATCCCTCTGATCCACTTAGCTGAGCTGATGTCTCCTCCCATCTCCACAATGAGCCACAGAAAGTCACCATATGATCTGACCATTACCCCATTGGCCCAGGGATTCCATGGCTGGTGAGGAGTCTTATTCCTCTGGGTCCAGCCCTGAGCTGAGTGTAGAACCCAATACAAACAAATGAAAGTGTGGCCCATCTTTCCCACCATCTGTGGAACACTCACATTTTCACTGTTGACATCGGTCTCACTGGGGCAGCCAAACAGCTCCCGCCGTAGGAGGTTTCCATCATACTCCAAGAAGGTCAGGTAGAGGTTGCGGAAGAATTCTACGTGTTTGTTCTTCACACGGAGCTTCTTGGGGGAGTTCCAGTGGATGACCTGGAGGGAGGCAAGGAGAAGGACGGATGGCATGGGCCATTACAACAAAGGGTTCCATGGCCTGGGACTGGGCCAGTTTTGATCTGTGGGTCTGCAGTTCATTCACTCCCTCATTCATTTTACATTTTTGCCAGTCATGGGAAACCAGTGCGTCTGTTCTAAGCTGTCATTTACTTGTGGGAAAATTCCCTTATTCTTTGGGTTATGGGAGCACTCACAGCTCCTGCATGTGCTGTTATTCGACTTTCATCTCTGGGATCCTCCAGCTCTGTAATGCAGAGGCTGGGACCCTGCACACCAGAAACCTACTTGGTGATAGGTCAGGAGAAAAACACTTGGGACTTGAGGAAGGGCAGACATAGCTCCTCTCTGCCGTTCCATGCTACTGAGAATATCACTTGGCCTACTTCTCCCAATACTAGTGGTACTATTTTCCTTTCAGAAATGCATGTCAGAGTTTTCTCAAAACTCACAATAAGCTCCACGGTCCCTGCTTCTCTGTCCAGAGCAGCTGCCTCTGACACTGGTGACCTTAGGAGTATGAGTTTGAACTCTCTCCACCTTTTCTCTCTGCTCTTCAAGCAGTACATTGTTAACTATTCCCTGCAATTGCTGACTTATGTCTTATTTCAGAACCAAGTCTATACTTTATGCCTGGTTACCATTTCTAAAGATTAAATTCCCTGTTTAAATAATTAGTGTGTTATTTGTCTTTGGCCAGGAATGAGTGACAGTCTCATAGAACTCCTATGGGAAGTAAACATGTTAACATGTGCATATCTGGCATTGCGTAAGCTCTCACAAAAACGTTGGCTCCCTTAGATTCTGCAGTCTGTTGACTGGGAGCTGCCCACAGCACATCAATGGTCCACCAATATATAGTTAGAAGGCACAGTGGAGGGAAGAGCATGGGACAGAGAGAGCTCTGAAATACTCAACAGAAGCAGCACGGTGCTTGGTCTTGCTGCAACTTGATTTGCTAGAGTATGTTGGTACCTATGGGGGGCCTCCACTTCTCTGAGGAGAAGGGAGAGGAGGTGGGGGAGGGGTTATGAGGTAGGACTGGGAGAAGAAGAGGGAGAGAGCTACAATCAAGTTATGAAGTGATTAAATTAATTAATTAAATAATAAAAAAATGAATAAAACAAACTATTATCATTGAAGAAGAAGAAGAACAAGAACAAGAAGAACAAGAAAAAGAAGAATAGAAGATGGTTGTGTCCATGATCAGAGGAGAAGAACATGGTTCCTGGGTCAGAAGGGCTAAAGTGAGGAATGTGGAGAAGGTTGTGAAAAATAAAATGAAAGGCCATGGGGTGGGGTATAAAAGAAACACAGCAGAGCTGACCTCTTAGACCTGGGAAACATACATTTGGAACTCAGACACTCACCATTACAGACTCCTAGGAGAAAGCCAAATGACTGACTTGGTTTTAGGGCCATTACTGTGTATAAAGATGTGCCCGGTAGGGTGAGCAGAGCAAAACCAAAGCTGGGGATGCTCTTGTGATTTCCAGATGAGAAATGAGGCTTTGGGCACACATTTTCTGACTTTGTTTAAAAGAGAAAATATGAAAGGGGGAAAATTAAGAAAACTAAGTGATCGGGATGGAGAGATTGTTTAGAGGTTAAAAACACTGGCTGTTCTTCCAAGGGTCCTGAGTTCAATTCCCAGCAACCACATGGTGGCTTACGACCATCTATAGTGAGATCTGGTGCCTTCTTCTGGTGTGCAGACAGAACACTGCATAAATAATAAATAAATAAATCTTAAAATAGAAAACTAAATGAATATATAGAGTACTTAATATTCACTAGAATTATTCTAAAAGCTTGGATTATTTATTGTTTAATAAGTTAACAATTAATAATTTATTATTACTTATCCTTACATATAATTCCTAAGTAATGAATACTAATAATGAATAATTTGAAATAATTTTTATTTTTTTCTATATTAATTACATTTTATTCACTTTGTATCCCCCCGTGGTTCCCTCCCTCTTCCCGTCCCAATCCCTCCCTTCCTCCACCCTCTGCATGCCAGCCCCTCCCCAAGTACACTGATAGGGGAGGTCTTCTTTTCATTTCTTCTGATCCTAGTCAAATAGGTCTCATCAGGAGTGGCTGTATTGTCTTCTTCTGTGGCCTGGTAATGCTGCTTCCCCCTCAGGGGAATAAAATAAGTCCATATGGCATCACTGTGAATGCTAACCCTGACCAGAAAGGAAGGGGAGCGCCAGAAGATTCTATTTTTCCATAGTCTCAAAAATTGGACTTGCTGTTTTGTAATCCACCCCAGAGGCTACTTGGCTAAGCACTGTGCTTTGCTGTCTTTGAGCTGTATGTGTAGCCCTGCAAAGGCAGGAAGAACTACAGAGGACCTCTAAGGATAGAGTGATTGATAGGTGAAGGTGTCATCAGATTTCAACAGTGGGGCTGAAGGAGACAGGAGAATGGGCGTGGGAAAAGTTAATCAGCTAAAGGACAACAGACCAGGGAAGGGCTGGCTTCAAGCAGTCTGCTTCATGATGGTGGCTCCAATCACTGGCCACATTCCCAGTGTCTACAGAAGATGCCGAGCAAGACTACACCTCAGCATGGAGTGAGGATAGAGCTGGACCCCCAGGGGCCTTAGTTGGACACCTGAAAGGGGGAGAAGGAATTTGTGCTGAGTGTTACAATGTGTCCCTGGCAGGGAAGTGTCTCTGGAGAGTTTACCAACAGCTATGCATTTGCTGGTGTTGTAATTTGAAAGCATTCCCCAAAGTTTATGTGTTGACAGCTTGAGACAGACGTTTTCCAAGAGGGAATTAAAACACATGCCTTTTTGAAGTAGTGAGCATCTGATAAAATGAGAGTTGCCTCCTTCTTCCCCATTTTTCCTCCTACCTTTCTGCCTCTGCCTCTGCCTTGGACTGAGGCAGCATAAAGACCTTAGCCAGAGCAGGCCCCCTTAATCTTGGGCTTCTGAATAGTAGGGTTTTTGAATAGTAAGAAATGGATCTCCAATAAAGCCCCTAGGCTTGGGTACACTGTTATAGGAGCATTAAACAAATAAGACAACTGACTCTCTGGACTCCTTCAACCACTCTTAACAAGAGACAGAGAGTGGTAACCTGTCCAAGGTACCTGACTGAGGTCACCTGGTTAGTGAAGGTAAGAATGCTCTGTCTTCCTTCTGAACTACAAAGAACAGGAGAAGCTAGGTTGTTACAACTTCCTTGTTCCCTTTTCTGATGGCAGAGGAAAAAGTAGTTCCAACTTTCTCCTTTGCACTCCTCAGTGTTCTCACTCTTTAGGTTGTAAAAGAGTATTATCTAATAGCCCATATGGCTCATGTTCCTCCCGAGTCATGTACAGTTCCTCTAACCTCCAAGTGATGGTATTAAGAGATAGGGTTTTTGGGGTGCTTAGGTTGTGGAAGGGATCACAGCCTTTATCCAAGAGGACTCAAGGGCAGTTTCAACTGTTACACTATGGCAGAAAAATCCAGATAGTGCTATCTATGAACCAGGAAGTGGGCCCTTACTAAATACTGAATCTCCCCCATCTAGACCATGGAAGCCTCCAGAATGACAAATGAATGCTGACTGCTTGTAAACTACCAATGGTTCTGTACAGAGTAAGACACTGCAGCTCATCCACTTCCTGGTTTCCTCCACAGGCTGAGATCTCTCTGACTGGAGACAGTGTGCAGCAGGGCCCAGAGCCTGCCAGCTGGAGCTGGCAGCTGCAGATGGGTCAAGATGGCCTGGCTCCTTTTGTCCTCTTTCGCAGGTGGACACTGGTAGCTTCCCTTGACTCTGGCTGCACCCAACTCTACAGAGTCTGTCCTTGACCCCTTTTCAGGCCCTTGTTGGATAATAGGAAGTGTGTCTGATTTAGCTGTGTTTCCTAACTTCTACCCATAACCAGAAATAGTACAGCACTACAGCTACCAGTATTGTGGCCCTCAGCTCAGCTGCAGTCTGCATTGGACTGCACCAGCTCTTACCATCAACTCCACTCCCTTACTGAAACTTCAGTTTCCTTAATTTCAGGATGAGGATCAGTCAGCCTGACAAAGAAGTTCACAGGGTTGGCCCAGTGCCTTTCACAGATAGTGAGGCTCAGACTGGCTCAAGGTCCCAAGCTAGTCAGTAGTACAAAAATAAAAAAACAAAACAAAACAAAAAAAAAAAAACCAAGCAAACAAACAAAACCAAACAGGTGTGTTTTGCTCAAAAATATTTTTATGATTACACCATTTGTTCATTCAACATGTATCAAAATAGCTGGGATTCTGTGTGAAGTACTGGATGTATAAACTGCATATACAGTTTTATAATCTGTCTAGGAGTTATACTTCAGAGAGACAGGCATTGAGTAACTTACAAGCATGACCCCTCCCCCAGTGGAGCCACTTTAACAAGAAGTGTTCAGAGTGGCCCACCAAGCCATCCAGTGCCACACAGCAGGGGACGGAGGTGCGTAGGGCAGCTTGCATTTCCTGGGTCACTGCTTCTCTACTAAGCTGCATTCATGACTCTGAGACTCAATCAGGGTTCCTGTTGTTATGTTTTAAATCATGACTTTCTGCCTGGTGAGGAATGTCATCTCCTGGTCTCTTGACAGACAGAATCACCCATCACTGCTGGCTCGGAGGCAGCAGCACTGACACTGAAGAATGTGCCCACAAATAGATTTTTGAGTGAAGCCTGGTGAACAGAGCTGGTGAGTGAAGCTGGTGAACAGGATCTGCAAGGCCTGTGATGACAGCCTGCCATAACTCATTCCCACTTCTGAGGCACATTAACACTACAGTGTTAATAATATCGATGATGATGATTATAATAGTTTGCATGATTTGATACTCCTCTGTACCAAACAGTGCTTCAAACATTTCATTTGTCATAACTAGTTTGTTCTCACCATAACTCTGTAAGACACTGACATTCTCATTATGCCCTGTGAGGGTTAGTATTGTCAACAAGATAGGATCTAGAATCATGGAAGAC